AACCACCTAACGAATTAGCCCTTTCTCAATTTGGAAGAAGCATTGAGAGTAAAGGCACAGAATATAGGGTGGATGGAGAACTTCAGTACCGACCACAAAGAACTGAACAACAGTAGCAATATCAATTGTGCCAGTCAAGTCCTGATGGAGACATCTGCTACATTTGGACTGCAGTAGATGGGGAGGTAACCAAAAAGATGGGAAAAACCTGCTTGATCTCATCCTCACTGATTGGTCTATTGCAGAAGCATCTTTCCACAACAGGACTAATAGGAGCGGCCATTGCACAGTCCTCGTGGAGACAAGGTTCCACTTTCTCACTGAGGATACAGCCTGTTTTGTTGACTGCAAGTACAACTATTGTAAATAGAACAGATTCAAAACAAATCAAGCAGTTCAAAACCAGCCACAAATAAGGTGCTGCAGGATGTCAGCAGCAGTATGGCATTCAACCATATTAAAAAAACTTTACGATTTGGCATTACTGCCATTCTATCATCACCACCAACATTCAATAGGCGCAGAACAGCATCAGGCAGACCTAAAAATGAGGCTTCAACGTGTAAACGACTTTACAAGACTACATGCATTGAAAACAACAGGTGCTGCATGATATGGGCAGATATAAACAAGCATCAAATGGATCAAATTTAAGCTCTGTACTCCTGCCACATGCAGTCCTGAATGGTGGTGGACAATTAAACAACTAACTGGAGAGAGGATTCCACAAATATTCCCATCCTAGGTAATGCAGGGAGTCCAGCACTTCATTACAAAAGCAAAGGCTAAAGCATCTGCACCATTTTTATCCAGATGTATCGAATAGATAATGCATTTTGGTCTCCTCCTGACATCCTCAATATCACAGATACGAGTTTTCAGACAATTCGATCCACTCCATGTCATTTTAAGCCACAACAAAAGACACAAATACAACAAAAGCTATGGACCTTTAGAATATACCAGTGGTAGTGCTGAAACATGGGCACTAGAACTTTAAGCATCCCTAGCCAAGTTGTTCCAGTACAACTATAACACTGACATCTGATCAATAATACAGAAATTTGTGTAGATATGTCTAGACCCTTAAAAAAAGGACAAACTGAATGTGCCATTTGCTACTCATCACCAATCCTTGATCATCAGCAGAGTGATGGAAGTTGACATCAACTGTGCTATCAAGCGATAGTTACAAAGCAACAACTTGCTCACCAACAATCAGTTGGAGTTCGGCAAAGACCACTCTCATCCAAACTTCATAGCATTCTAGGTCGAAATAGACAAAAATAATTCCAGAGGTGAGGTGAGAATGACTGAACTGGCACCAATGCAGCAGTTGACCAAGTACAGCATTAAGAAGCCTAAAGAAAACTGATGGGAAATGCTCCACTGGTTGGTGACATACCTAGTACAAGAGCAAGTTGATCGTGACTGTTGGATGTCATTAATGTCAGATGAGGTCATCGCTGCAGATGTTTTTCGGGGTCATGTCCTCAGGCCTAGCTAACTTCAGCCGGTTAATCAATGACTTTCCCTTGGCGTAACATCAGAAGTGGGAACATTTACGGATGGTTGCAATACTCAGCATCTTCCAAAACTCATCAGATACAGAATTCAATCCTGGGCTGAAAAATGGCAAATAACATGCATACCATACGTGTGGCATGACATGATCACGGCCAGGAAGAGAATCTAACCAATGCTTGATAGGGTACTTCCATCATCAAATTCTCCAACATGAACATTAGAGGTACCACTGACCAGAAACTTGACTGGACTGCATCCTACAATTTTAAAGGAAGTAGCGACTAAGAAAGTGGATGTGCTAGCAACAATCTTCCAAGAATCCTTAGGTTCTGGAAAAGCCTCAAAGGACTGGAAAATTGCTAACGTACCATCCTTAGCCAAAAAGGGAGAGAGATCAAAAAAATAGGGAATTACAGGCCAATTATCTCAATATTTGTTATTGGGAAAATGTTAGCATCTATTCTAAAAGATCGAATACCAATGTATTTTGAATTACAGAATGTAACCATGGCTTGAAGAGAAGGAAATCATGCCTGAAAAACTTTTCTAGAATTATTTGAGGTGGTAACAAGCAGGATAGATGAAGGGGAACAAATAAATGTAATTTATTCAGATTTCCAAAAGGTTTTTGAAAAGGCCCCACCACTCATGACTACCTAATAAGATAAGAGCCCATGGTGTTGGGGTAGTAAATTAACATGGATAGAAGATGAGCTAACTACGAGATGACAGAGTCATGATAAAAGAGGGCATTTGCCCTGTACAGAACTTTAGTTAGGCCACATTTGGAATATCGCATACAGTTCTGGTTGCCACACAACCAGAAGGACATGGAAGCTTTGGAAAGGGTACAGAAAAGGTCTATCAGGATGGCTGCCTGTTTTGGAGAGGATTTGCTTTGAGGAGATTAGACAAATTTAGTCTGTGTTCAGTTGAACATTGGGAAACTGAACAGCGACCTGACAGAAGTTCACAAAATTATGAGGCATGGACAGAGCAGATCGTCAGAATCTTCTTTCCAGGGTAGAAATGTCAATTACAAGTAGACATTGGTTTAAGGTAAAAGGGGGTAAGTTTAAAGGAGATCAGGGAGGCATGATGCCTCAGTGATTAGCACTGATGCCTCACAGTGCCAAGGACCCAGGTTTGATTTTAGCCTTGGGTGACTGTCTGTGTGGAGTTTGCACATTCTTCCTGTATCTGCATGGGTTTCCACGGGTTGCTCTGGTTTCCTCCCACAGTCTAAGATTTGGTAGAATGGCCATGTTAAATTGCCCATAGCATCCAGGGATGTGCAGACTGGTGGAATAGCCATGGGAAATGCAGGGTTACAGCGAGGGGGGAAGGGGTGGGTCTGGGTCAGATGCTCTTCAGACGGTTTGTGTGGACTCAATGGGCCAAATGGCCTGCTTCCACGCTGTAGGGATTCCATTATTCTACACTGTGATGTGACGGCATTGTTTTTTTTTGTTTTTTTTACACAGAGGGTGGTCAGTGCCTGAAATACGCTGTCAGAGGATGTGGTAGAAGCAGATATGAAAGCAACATCGGAGAAGCATCTTAATGGATACATGAATCGGCAGGGAATAGAGGGATATGGACCACGTAAAGGCAAAAAGGTTTTTGGTTTATCAAGGTGTCATATGTTGGCACAGGCTTGGTGAGACAAAGGGCCTGTTCCTGTGCTGTACTAACTGATGAAATGCAAAAACAGCCCTCTGTAGGGGCCACAATTATTAACAATAATGGCTTAGATGGGAGAAGTGAATGGACTATCGCCAAGTTTGCAATGACACAAAAATAAGTGGGAAAGCAGGTGGTGAGAATGAAACAAAGAATCTACAGAAGGATACAGACATATTAAGTGAATAGGCACAAACGTAGCAGTTAGAATATAAAGTGAGAAAATGAGAGGAAATGCATTGTGGCAAGAATAGAAGGGCCTGAATATTATTTAAATGGAGAGAGACTGCAGAAAGCTGCAGCACAGAGGGATTTGCATGTCATCCTGAATGAATGACAAAAAGCTAGCATCTAAGGTATAGGAGATAACAAGGTGTAGAGCTGGATGAACACAGCAGGCCAAGCAGCATCATAGGAGCAGGAAGGCTGACGTTTCAGGCCTAGATCCTTCATCAGATCAGCATCTAAGGTATGCATGTTATAGAGAAGGCAAATGTAACATTGTTACCTTTGAAATAAAGGCCTAAGTATAAAAGTAACAAAATCTTGTTAAAACTATACAAAGCACTAGTCAGGCTACACCAAGAATATTATATGAACTGTTTTCATCCCCTAATCTAAGAAGCTATATTCTGACATCGGAGGCAGTCAAGAAAGGGTTCACTAGGTCAATTCAAGGTATGGAGGGACTGTTTTATGAGGAGAGGTTGAATAGCTAGGTCCTTTACTCAATACAGTTTAAAAAAAATGAGAGGAGACGGTACTGAAGCATACAAGATTCTTATAGGGTTTGACAGGGTAAATGCAGAATGTTTGTTCCCTCTTGTGGCAGGATCTAGGATCTGAAGGTATAATCTAAGAGTACTAGTCATCCACTTATTACAGATGAGGAGAATTTCTTCAGTAGGTTGTGAGTTTGCAGAATTCTTTACTGCAGAGTGTTATCAAACGTTGGATCAGTATGTATATACAAGGCGGAGATAATCAATAATGGAACTAAGGGTTGGGAGGTGAGGATTATCAGATCAACCATGGTCTCACTGAATGGTGGTATACAGAATGGTGGTGTCACTGAATGGTCTGGCTATAATCCTCAGTCTATGCCCCCTATTGTCTTCTCCCGCCCCGTCAGATGCTCATCTCAGAGTCAAAGTGAAAGCTAAATTTGCAAACAGTTTGTTTCAGCCTTGGCCAGTCAACAAAGAGGAAAGTAGATAGCAAACAGAGTTGTGGTGGAAACCAAAGAAGATAGGTGAATTACATATTGGGAAGACCAAAACTATCTTAGACCAACAAAACTCCTAATTTGAGCCATTTTCCCAGCCAAAACTGTACATCAGTTCCAACCAAATTACAAAAATAGCACTAGGTGAATGATGCAAACAAACCCAATTATTATTTGAAAAAACATTTGGGCTAAATGTGATAAACTTTACAAGTGCGATAGTACGAATTGAATTCTAGTTATATGGATAAACTGCTCTAAGGAAACACAATAAAAATTGAAATTGCTGGCCAAATTCAGCAAGTCAGTTCTGATGAAGGGTCACTGGACTTGAAACATTAACTTTGCTTTCTCCCCGCACATGCTGAGTTTGACTAGCAGTTTCTGCTTTTGTTTCAGATCTCTAAAGTCTGCAGTTCTCCATTTTGCTCTCAGGAAACACCAATCGTCTCTCTAAAATGTTTGAAGGAGAGCCTCTAATTGTTCAGAAAACCCCATTATTTTTAAGTTGCTCACCAGTAAGGAGCATTGCCCCAAATTATCAGAAGTATTATTCACAAATTACCTCAGCTTCAATCTGTAAACTCCTGGATGATGCTGCAATTTCTTCTAATAGTGCAATCAATCATCACGTGTCATATCTATAAAGCAAGAAGAGACATTAAACATTTTGTTGCAAAATTGAGCAAAAATGGCCAACAAGCTTGTTATCCGTGCATGTGATGCAACAACATTGAAGGAAACATCATTTCAACAGAAGTATCTGAATGAAAAATTGAAATGAGAGTTCAATCCACCATCTTCACTTCTACTCTTCTTAACAACTTGTGAATCATAACTTCATACCATGGCTGTCCATGCTTGCTCCTTGTCACTGAACAATCTATGTTTAGCACAAAAAGGTGGTGTACTTCTAATTACATTACTGCTGAGGAATTATTTTACATTGCTGGATATTATCCCCACAAATCACTGTCAAATCTTGCAAGTACTGAAAAGATAACAAAATGAAGGTAAAGGTGTTCATTTCAGTTTTAATTCAGGAACAGAAAACTTCACTTGAAATTCAACACATTTAATCCTTTATAAATCGAACTCTTGAAACTAGTTTCTTATTTAAATTTGATCTAGTTTACACAAGAGTAAATACAGTAACAAGAGTGCTACATCTGACAGCTTCCCAATTTCAATGGGATCACTAAGACATGCTTTCAAAGTTAGGAGAAAATTTGAAGATTTTACTAATGCACATATTTTAAAAAAAGACCTTCAATCTTAACTTTCGCAACAATTATTTCTCCATCAGTGCAAGAGATCAGTTAAAAGCATGAAATATTCCTGCTGTAAATTTTCAGCCAAGTGATCATAAACCATTGTGAACTTATACACCATTTTGTTTGGCAGATCTACAGGAAATGAGTAAACAGCTTCAATTTGATGGGTGGAGCCACAGTTTCAAGCAAATCAATACACGCAAAAGGAACATCTATTAATGTTTTTACAGTAACTTAGCTGGGATAAATGAGACACAGTTGAGCAGTAAATGCACATCATAGGTTTCGTATAAACACCATCTTAATTTTTTGGCTGTAAACTAAACATAAATGGGAAAAGATACTGCTTTAAACTAAGGAAACCGTGGAATAACTTGTCAGTTTTAAAAGTGAACAACCGCATCTCTGTCAGTTTTATTTGCAATGCTGCCTTATTCAAGCAGAAGGGAAGAATGCTGGGTACTGCAACTCCATGTGTGCACAAAAATTAGTCTTTTGATTGCTTTTTCTACTGACCATTGTTCTTTGCTCAGAAGTTCTGACCGTCGTACCCAACACCTGACTGGCTGCTGGGAAAATGGCTACAGCCCTGTAATGTGCATGATAGAGAAGAAACAGCTAGCCTGCAAAGATAAAGCACCCGAATCCTTCTCTTGCCCTCCTGCGTGGAGTAGTAACAAAATCTTCCAGTAGCTGTTCTCATTCACCATTTCCTTGTTTTTAAAAAAACTGCAAAGTTCCTTGTCGAAAAGAAAAGGGGAGAAAAAGACACGTCGAGAGACAATGAAAAGGCAAATCTTCAACCACTGAACGCAATATAGAGAATCGGTATATCCATAATTTCATGTCCTCTTGAAAGAGTCAAAAGGAACTCAAGAAAAACAACTCATTGACACCTGGAATCTGAACTAGTGGCAGTGCTGTGTTTCAATGACAATATTTCCCTCTTATCGCATCTCAATGTGCAAGTCTTTGAGGTTGTGAATGGGAATTTTAAAAGGGGTAGAGATTAAGTTACAGAATTACAATTTAGCAATTCAGGTTTCTTTTCTTGCCATGTGAGAAAAACTGCTTGTCTTGTTAATGACAAAAAATAATTGCATATTCTTTTAACCCGAGTCATTCAGGTTAAAAACTAGGCAATTCGGTGGTTTAATCAATTTTCAGATTGGTGATGATTCCGGGCAGAGGGGGCTCAATTTGTAGCACATTAGCCAATGAGTAATGAGACTTGCTTCAAAACACAAGACTATGAGCAAGTAGGAATACTGTATTTGTCACAAGCAACAGGCCTCGAGGTGACACCCAGCAAAGGACACCCCCACGCCCCCAGCGTCAAGGTGACACCCAGCCAGGGTACCCCCCCCAATCCCCTGGCCTCAAGGCGACACTCAGCCAGGGTCCCCCACCCTCCATAACCTGGCCTCAAGGCGACACCCAGTGAGGGTCCCCCCCACCTACCTCGAGGTGACGCCCAGCATGGACTCATCTGCTCCATCCGTTTCTTTCTCCCCCACTCTTTTTCTCTGCTTTAGAACGACTGTAAATGTCGAACTTTTAACTTTATTTCTTTATTTTTCTAATTTATATCGAAGGTTTTGTACCTAGGCACCTTTGTACCTAAGATGGCACCAGAAATGGCGACTTTCTACAGTTTTCACAGTACTCATGTATCCCTTTACTTGAGTACATGTGACAACAAAACCTAATTCTAACTTTCAAACAAGAAAATTCTAGTTAAAATCTCTGTAGCTTTTTCACTCATCAGAAAAATCACTGTTGCCTTAAGTTTTCCAAAAACATGGAACACAGAAACATAAAAGCAACAGGAGTATATCACTCAGCCCTTTGAGCCCACTCCACTAATTAGTACAATTATGCTGATCATCTAACTTAGTACCCTGCTGCCACTTCCTCACCATACCAAACGATCATTTTAGCCCCAAGAACTTTACCTAACTCCTTGAAAATATTCAACATTTTGGCCTCAACTGTTTTCTATGGCAGAAAATTCCACAGGATCACCACTCAGTGAAAAACCTACTCCTTATGTCAGTTCAAAGGTCCTACCTACACCTTTAGACTGTGACCTCCGGTTATGGATTTCCAAGTCATTGGGAACATCTTTCTAGTATTTACCCCTGTCTTGTCCTGTTACAATTCCATTCCAAAAAGGATTTATCTGTTTTGTTTTCCATGCACCAAGAGCCCAAATATTCACAGGGCACAGTGGCAAATTAGGATTAATTTGCTGAGTTGGCATTTCAGGATGGGGTCATGTCAACTGAATAAAATAGATAATGCCTTTGTAACAGTACAGAGCATCTTCAATACCTGTTAAATTCACAGCAAAGCATGAAGGAACATGTGAAGACATAATGTGTTGCTGCAATCAGCAAAATTCGACTCCTTCACGCAAGAACTACCTCATTCGGCACACTGCCATCCTTCATTCAAAGGTAGAACAAATCAGAATAAATTCATAATGGCAAGAGTCTAGGAGGAATGGAGCAATTAAACAGTTGCACACAAAAATCAGTAAAAGCTAGTGCACAGGTACAGAAAGTAATCAGAAAGGTGAGTGGAATGTTTGCCTTTATCCCAAGACGATAAGAATTCACAAGTGAGGAAGTGATACTTCATACAGTCTTGGCCAAAACCAGCGTGAAAAATGCAAACCACAAAACAGAATGTTATTGGAAGGCGCAGAATGCAGATTCAATCTGACATCAGGTCTTAAAGGACAGGTTACATACATAAAGCTTCCATATCTGAGTGTTCAGAAAGTTCAGGGATAATTTAATTCAAGCATTTCAGGCTGCCAGATTTGATAAAGATAAATAGAAGGTATTTCCTCTGATGGGGGAGGAAGAGTCCTGTAAAAGAGGACATGATCTTATTATAGAGGTAGTAAGAACTGCAGATGCTGGAGTCAGTGATCACAGTGTGGAGCTGGAGGAACACAACAGGCCACGCAACATCAGAGGAGCTGGGAAGTTGACGTTTTGGGTCAGGACCCTTCTTTAGAAATGGGGATAGGGGAAGGGAGCTCAGAAATAAATAGAGAAGGAGGGGTGGAGCTGGGGAAGGTCGGTGGGATGGTGATAGGTGAGTGCATGTAGGCAGTGAGGTGGGAATGGTGAATAGGTGGGAGAAGATGGACAGGTTGTGTCAGGTCAAGGATGCGGGGAGGAGAAGAAGGATTGGTTATGGGATGAGGCCAGGGGGCGGGGAGATTTGAAAACAGGTGAAATCCATGTTTAGGCCATCAGGCTGTAGGCTCCCAAGGCAGAATATGAGGTGCTGCTCCTCCAGTTTGTGGGTGGCGTCATTGTGATGCTGGAGGATGCCCAGGATGGACATATCATCCAGGAAGTGAGAGGAGTTAAAATGGTTCATGACCGGAAGCTGTTGTCGTTTTGAGCAGATGCTCTTCAAAACGATCTCCGAGCCTCCGCTTGGTCTCACCGATGTACAGGGGGTCACATCGAGAGCAGCAGATGCAGTAGACCAAGTTGATGGATGTGCAGGCGAACTACTGTCTAATGTGGAAGGTTTGTTTTGTGCCTTGAATGGAGGGGGTGGGGGGGGAGGTGTAGGGGCAGGCGTAGCACTTCCTGTGGTTGCAGGGAAACGTGCCGGGGGTGACGGGGTTACTGTGGAGTGGACGAGGGAGTCACGGAGACAGCAGTCCCGATGAAAGGCAGATAGGGTGGAGAGGGAAATACCTTTTTGGTTGTGGGGCCGGATTGGAGGTGGAAGTGGCGGAGAATGATACGTTGGATGCGGAGGTTGGTGGGGTGATATGTGTGAGGACAAGGGGGATTCTGTCTTTATTTTTGTTGGGGGTAGGGGATGTGAGGTGAGAGGTACGGAAAATGCAAGAGATGTGGTTGAGGGCATTTTTGATCACCGGAGAAACTGGAGGAGCAGCACTTCATATTACGCCTCGGGAGCCTACAGCCCGACGGCCTAAACATGGATTTCACCAGTTTTAAAATCTCCCCACCCCTGGCCTCATACCATGTCCAACCCTCCCTCTCATCCCCACCTCGATGACTTGAAACAACCTATCCATCTTCTCTCCCACCTATCCGCCCCACTGAACCCACTGACCAATCCCCACCACTCCATACCTGCACTCACCTATCACCATCCCACCTACCTTCCCCAGCCCCACCCCTCGTCTCCATTTACTTCTGAGCTCCCTTCCCTGTTCCCATTTCTGAAGAAAGGTCCTGACCAGAAACGTTAACTTTCTTGCTCCTCTGGATGCTGCTTGGCCCGCTGTGTTCCTTCAACTCCACACTGTGTTATCTCATGATCTTATTACAGCCGAGCCATTTAGGAGTTAAACCAAATGCAGG